TTTTCAATGCTAGGTCGCACCATGGTTGTTGCTATCTACTGCCTTACCAGTCTTCTCCATATCGTGAACATATGTTTAGCCCAGTTAGTCTGCTGCAGAACAGCGTTTTTTCAAGTTCAAGAAAAAGGCAGGTTACTTTTACTTAAGTGTTATTATTAATTAAGTAAACGGAGAGGGGCATGAGAGCCAGGAAAACATTCGGTTTTCTGTCGCACTGTTTCGACTAAAACCGTTCGCGAGTAATGATTTGTCGTTGTTTTTTTTAGTTATTGAACTGAATTTTATTTCAACAGATCGGGCTCTGGTCGATCAAACTCTTGAAACGTGAGTATTCTTAGTTTGATTGAAACTGCAGTTAGGCCACTAAGCAATTCAAAGGTTTAACTAAAGTGATTTTATTTCGAGGCGGATCCAGTACCGAAGAGGGTGACTTGACGTCTCGACGGGTGCACTTAAGGAAGTTTGGGTAAAGTTGATGTTACACGGGACGATTCGCAACGACAATTTTTAGGGCAACACAGCGTTGCAATGTTGAAACAATGTTGCAGCTGTTCGAAACAACGTCGCAACAATGTTGTAATGCTGTGTTGCGCTAAAAGTCGTCGTTGAGAATCGTTCAGGGTAACATCACCTTGAAGGTGTGCCGTCGAGGCCTTCGAAAACTGACTCTCTTTAAGACAAATATCGTTCATTTCGGTATATCGATTATGTCAAGAGAGCTTATTTTATGACTTGTTTCGTTTTGCATACACAATTGAGTAATTTTTGCGTTAACAAACATCATGGAATTAGATTTTATGTGGAAAATATTCTTTGGTACCACAAACGCAGACCAGTTATCACCAACCTTCACACTCTTTCAAAGGCTTCCGGCCCAAAAAGACACCATGCTGAAAAACGCTGCACAAATAGTCAAATTGAACACCTTTTTAAGACTCAAGACCCTGAAATAACCTTAGTTCTGCGGCAGGGGCGTAGCTAAGGGGGTCCTGGGGTGCCCGTGACGCCCCCTTGGTAGGCCTTCTTTTGAGCAAACAACCTACAATATTCAGGTGGCGAAAACGCCATGCCAATATCTTGGCCGTAAAAGCCATTGTTGAAAAGCCCACTTTTTTAAAATTTGTTTTTTTGTAAAGTATTTTCGTCAACGGCTCTTGTCTTTAGTGAATATTGGCCTTCATGCCGCGACAATACGACTGAGCCCGCTGATACACGAGGGAGAGCAGCGGGTGAGTAGCCTCTGTGACCCCCCCTTTGAAAAATCCTGGCTACGCCCCTGTGCGGCACATAACCGTTAAGGCCATATGGGGGTGGGGGAGGGGGGGAGGGCGCTCCCCAGGGCGTGACGGACATAGTTCAGTTCATTCTGTAGATATAGTAAATGTAGTTAGCAGTACTTGTCCACATGGCTTTTCTGGCAAATATCCCAGTAAACATTGTCTCTCACGCTTAACATATGGTGAAATCTATACCTTCCAATTGTCAGATACATGGTAAGAGATGAATTTGATTGTGGAAGACGTTGCTTGGGTCGCGAGGGTTGTAAATCGTACAACTACGAATATCACAATACCAGCAGCCGAAGACATACATGTGAATTAAGCTCAGAAAAAAAGGAAGAAAAACCAGATAGCTACATAGTCAAATATGGATACGTCTATTACCAACAATTGACGGAAATTAAGGTATGGAATCTTCTTTTGCACATGTTTACCTTAGCAGAATCGGACCTTAAAGTCTAGTTATTTCTGGTCCCTTGAGGTTCTCGGCTCCTCTTTCTCGCGGTTCGCTTCCATTCTCGTGCTCAACGCGGGCATTCCCCAGCTTGACTTGTGAGTAAGTCTAGTTCTAGACCAACAAACCTTTGCATGACCTAGCATTCTCCGCAGGTATCACTGTCCTCTTTTATAGAATGGTTGGGAGAATGGGGGAAGAAAGGGGAGCGACACTGACAACTCCTTCCCTTTCTTTTCTTGTTTTTTTTTTTTCCTTTTCTCTTTCTCAGACCCCTAACGGTCAGTGTAACCGTTACAAAAGGAGTTGCAGAAGGAGGAAGCTATGCACGGCCATTTTTTTCTCAAAATATCAAGGAGATACTTCAATGTATTCAGTTAAATAAAACCTCTTGTTTCCTCTTAACAGGACAGTGTTGGATGTGCTAAATACACTTGCTATAACGGAGGCACCTGTATAGACACTTGTCATGGAGACATGTTTTACTGTCAGTGCACTAGGTTTTTCCGCGGCAGACAGTGTGAAAGGCCAAGAGGTACGTTAGATGTTTGTCATTTGCGATCATAGGGGCTGTCGCGTAGAAGGAAGTTTCTCTTACCAACTCGTTACTCAAAGCTCGCAGTTGACGAAAATAGATAATGTAATTGTTAAAAACCTGATTCAGCACCTGTGAAGAAGTCTACTTCATCTGCCTGTTTTACTGTCTTTACACAGCGCGAAATTGCAAGGAATTAAAAGACCTTGGCGACGGATTAAGTGGCTTCAAGCAAATAGCTCCCGGCGGCGATGATGTGCAAGGAATAGCAGTTTATTGTGATCAGACTACGGATGGTGGCGGATGGACCGAAATACAGAAGCGTTCGACTCCTTTCAAAGCATTACTCTCCAAGACTTGGGCCGATTACGAACAAGGCTTCGGCATCGAGAGCGGAGGAGAGCACTTTTGGATTGGAAATAAGTATCTCTCGCTCCTGACAAGATCCCCTGTAAAGTTACGGATCGATGTCTTACCGAACGGCTATGCGGTTTACGACGACTTCTCCATATCAGGACCTGAGGATAATTACCGTCTTCATATCGGGCCAATTGTATCGGGAAATATGAACGACGCCATACACGGCGACGGCACTCAAGCAAACGAACAGAACGGTATGCCGTTCTCGACATCAGATCGAAACAACAACGGCCTTAAATGGTGCGCAAATGTTAACGGCCCCTCTGGATGGTGGTTCAACAAATGCGGACAGGCAAACTTAAACCAGGCTTACATGCCAGAATGGAGCGGTTACAATTATTACCCAATGACTCAAACTACAATGAAAATACGACCCATGTGATCAAACGGATGTGTTGGTTTTACAGTATAAATAAATTAAACACAGTCATTTAAATAATTTGAAAATTAATTAAAAATAAATCTTTAGTTAAATAAGACTTAGGCAATCGAACTACAACGAAGACACGACCCATGTGACCGAACGGATGTTTTGGTTTTGTAGTAGAAATATATTGAAAACATTCAAATAATTTGAAAATTAATTAAAAATGTATCTTAATTAAATAAATTAAATATAAGACCTATGTAATCGAACTGCTGTATTGGTTTGCCGTATTAGAAATTTTTAATTCTTATTAACTAATAGTTAATTTGTATGTGTAATCAAATGGTGACGAGTGAAATTAGGGAATAATTTCACGCGCGTTTTGTCCAAATCCTTATTAGAATTTGGACAAAACGCAAGTGAAATTATTCTCTAATTTCACGAGTATACCATTTGATTACCTATTAATATCATGGGTGACGAATTACGTTAGCAATCTTGGATTTTTGACATGTTTATCCTGGATCGTATCGATCGAGAACTCCTGCACTCTCTCGAACGTTTAGAGCTTAAATTTGGCTTAAGTTCAGAGTTTTTCGACAAAATACCTGTTAGAATCGTTTTTGATCTGCTCTTTCGTGTGTTCAGGTTTTCTAAAGCTTCTTTTTTGCCCAGACATCTTCATTCATGACATGTTAAAACTTCGTCGCCATCTTGACACTGAGACGTACGGAAGGTTGCCATGGCAATTTTGTAATTTCACATGTGAAATTACAAATTAACACTGAAATTTCGCGCCAAAATTAAGAAGGAATTCGTCACCTATGATATTACATTAATAATACGTCTTATCTGTTAATACATTACCTAATAAAAGTAAGACCCACGTGATCGAACGGTTGTTTTGGGTTGCGGTGTAATTTACTTTTTTCAGTGAATTAAACTTATTGCGGACGACAAGAGGAACTCGCGGTCCAGACATGATCTTAATCCCGTCTCCAGGTTGCTATTGCTATTACGCATGCACGACACGTGTGTAGCACGTGTGTGTAGAAGTCCAGTAAGAATAAATGGAATGCATAGAACGCAATCTGATCACACGAGTTTGGACCCTTTATCACGCGTAATACAATCTAATCAAGCATGTTTTGACCATCAAATACGTGAAACTTACACAAAGCACAGCGTGGGAGCAAAAACATGGCCAGGCAAACCGGTGAATCTCGTTCCAGAATCGCATTTTCCATTTGTACAAATCAGTTCTATTTACCCAACAACGGCCGCGAAGGCCCGAAACTGGTATCAAAGGTGACTTTGATGACGAATTTTAGTTTGAAAAACATTCCATCTGGAAAAACAGGACTTCCTTTTCATATGTTCCTTTGCTCTCAGAAATTTTCCGCTGGAACGAACAAAAAAGTCGCGTTCCATTTACTTTCCAACCGGAATTTCTGGAAACTTCTTGTCGTATTTGACCTTCGATTGCTAATTGTGAATGAGTTTTTATCAATTACTTCTCTAGAGATTGGAGCAAGTTTGGCAAGCATGCGTAGTGAAATAAAACCTGTTGCGAAAGGGAAATTGAAATTGAAAAAAAAAAGATAGAAAAATCTTTCTATTTTCTTGCGCCCTCTTTAAATTCCTAGAGGGACTTACAATTGCCCTAGACGCTTCAGACCCGGCGTCCAAATATTATCTGAAAAACCCCACATCAAATCAACAAAATCAAGAGCAAAGACACTAGCCTTGTACAACAAAAATTCAATTTGTAAATTGAAAGAGTAGTACACGTAAGGTTTAAAGCTAAAATAAGACAATGGGAAAAGTTGTAAAATATCTCATTTTTATTACAAATTATATTATAAACTTTATCATTATATATCTTTTTCTCACTCAGTACATTTCAATGTAACTTTTTCTCGCAGAGAAAATAGAATATTTTTTTTCTCTGTTCAGTGTAACATTAGGTAAAATTGTATACATGTATAATTATGAGTATTCATGTTCCAATGATTGAAAAACAATACGATAACAAGTATGCAATAAACAATATGCTGACAGCTACGTCGAATATCTAAACTTTCAAAGATCACAACTTCATCTGACAACATATAAACTCGAACACGAGTAGCTTTTCCTTCAAAGTTTGAGCAATGATACGATACCTTCAGTTTCTACAACTAGGAGACTGCATTTTTATAAGAACCACCGTGTTACTTTAGAGTAAAGAGAACGGGTCCAAAAAAATCGGTTTTTTTTCGGTGTGGAAACTTCCCTTATCTCCTTCTTTTCATTGGGTGTGCACGATCATTTTTGTAAAACATCACGGAGTTTCGAAGGAAAGAGCTATGTGGTAGTTTTCATTTTTTTTTATGGTCACACTTTTTAATTTAGGATTTTATCCAAGTTAAATCCAGCATATTTGTACAACATGATAAGAAAACCAAAAGAAAGTACTTTTCGATAGCTATCATTTGAATGGATAAACTTTAGGATTTCATCCACAAACACAAATGTTAGAACCATCCTGTATAGCATAATAAACAGCACCGAAGGAAAGCACTGCTCACTAGAATTGTCTCATTTCGGGACACAGAATGAAAAGGAAAGATGGAAAAGTTCAACACGACACGATTTCATTTACTGAAGGACGATAATTAACAATTCGTCCGAGTAAACTAAAGATCAACTGCCGGTGACCGCACTGAGAAATGCGTGTCCTTAAAAGCAGTCCCAGCAACTGGTATCAAATACTTGACATACGGACATGTCTCTGAGATCTATTGAAGATGGATATGCCTCAATCAAGGGAGAAATAGTCCCTGTTTTTAATCTGACGGAACGGAGTTGTTAAGGGAACGCCAGAGAAACCTTGTGCGTTTAAACAGAAGCTCACTGTTCACTTCAACAGTTTACGCGGGCTCTTCCATGTTGGAAACAATGGAAGTAACCCATTCTTGATTGCATTCTTCCAGCTTCTTTCGCCGAGCTGCCTTTTTCATTTTCTTTTCTACAGGCGAGTCGGATAACGACACAACCTTTGCACAAACAGAGCCATTTTGTTCAGCTGTGATTGAATCAAGGCTGTCAACGTCTTTCTCAACAGGGAATGTAGACGACTCGTTCTCAATCTCCTCGCTGGCTATAGGATATTCACGTGACCACATGCTGGCCACTTCAGCGTCTTCCGTATCATCTCCTTCCGGCTCAGAATCACATTCTTCTTCATAAGATTCCATTCTCTCATATTTGTGAACAGTTCGTAAAGCCAGAATATTGACAGGAAAATGGACCACTTTGGCGGGTTTTGACTGCAAGAAAAATGTAAATGAATGGTTTTGAATGGAAGCAGACTAAAACCGAAACATTGGCAACATCTAATTTTCTGCCCCACCGGCATCTTGTCACGTAAACAGTGGAACTGGACAGATGATTGGCGATAATAGACGGCATAGAAATGGAATTAATTGTTACAAATTGATGGAAATAATTCTTTTAGATGGTCAAGTCTGACCGCCTACAAAGTATTTATCGAAGATTTGCAGAAGATTATTGGGGAAATGTTGCCGTATTTCTGGAGGTTGAATAAAAAAACTTCCACCATTAAGCCAAATTTGCAAAGATAAAAAGTAAATTCCTGTAACTTTCCAGCAGACCCTAAAATACATTTACTACTAACCAATATTTTTAATTGCGTCTTCTTAGTTACGCAACAAATCACGTGGAGAGGGCGATTCTAGTCGCTCGACGAAAATGGTCCTCGAAGAAACCACTGGAAAAGGTTGCCAAACAGACCAGAACCAAAGTAATAACTCTGGCCTATTACAACGCGAGCTCATAATCACGAGAACCAATCAAATCTCGAAGCAAACGTCATGAACGGTTCTGGTTTGGCTTCTGATTGGTTGAGAAAGTGGCGCGAGACTTTTGAGCCAATAACGAAGCGTAGCCGAAAAAAACCAAAGCCATTTCGAAATAGGTCCTTTGAAGCTGGTCTGTCGCGGGGTCCAAGCCGCCATGCTTGAGAGCAAGAACTTCATTGCGACAAGACAAACAAAGAGCTTGCACCATCTAAAGTGGTAATTTTCTTCTTCTTTCTCTTTCTGTCTTTTCACAGTGAGTTCACTGCTCTCCAACAAAGCGTTTTTCTGTCACGTGTCTAACCACCTGCAAAGGGCTGATTACTTCGACACAACTGAGAACTGGATGTACAGTAACACCTCTTATGCAGCAAACTACTCTTTCGACGAGTGTACTCTGTCGTGTTTGTTCCCGGAAGTCTCCGAGCCGGCATACTGAACAAACAGACTATCCTAAGAACAAGATCGATAGCTTCGCAGGTGAAATAAAATATATATTTTAAAGTTTACGCAAAAAAATTTACTCACCGGAGCGTTTGGATTCTTCAAAATCGACCCCCTTCTTCTAATAACTTCACCAGGCATCATAACATACTCCGGAGATACGGAATCCGATTCGATTATGACATGCGACTGAGAATCTGATGTACCGACCTCAGGCGATGGAGCTTCAGATGTGACCGAAGTTTCTCCGAGCTCTTCCGAGGCATTTCCGATGTATGTTACAGGTGGCGGTGACTCCGATGAGATGACGGTGACTTCTACATCGGACGACGAGTCGAGTGTACTGTCCTCGTTAGACGATGTCTTATTCTCAGAGTGATTCGGGCGGAGCGGATGGACTATGGCAACCGGTTGTGAAGTCAATTTCATATCACGGGATGCTGCGAAGAAAGCGGGGTAAAGTTACTAGTAACTGGACTCAAAAAAGCCCGTGGTCTTCGTCATGAAAAAAATATTTTGGATTTTGTATTTCCCCAAATATTCCGCCGGCATGGTTCAAGCGGCCGCCAACTTATTGACTGTATTTGTGCAAAATGCGTCAGTTACCGTAAGTAGAATCAACCTACGGTCAGCATCGCTGCCACACCGCTGCGAGCAGCTTAGCGTTCTGCTTCATTTATATAAATGTATGTAAGTGGCTAACTACCATTCATTTCCTCATTTACTTCGATGTAACACACCTTCAACGCCAAAGGTAGCGCCATGGTATTGGTTGGAGAAGGGGGGGGGAGGGGGGTGTGAGGGGGACCGAGACGGACCCTATTATTTCCAAAGTTAGCTTCAGTGGTTTTTACGTTCCAGATTTGGCGCGGTTCGACTCTGTTTATGAAGCGCACCTAGAATTTGCTAATCAACGTCCCCGTTTTTAGTGTGTAATGTGTAGGCAAAATTAGGCCAAAAGTACGCACCCCAAGTTATACCAAACAAACAAAACCGTTATTTTGGTCCTTGCCGTTGGTTAGTAATTAATGAACTTCCGGGTTTTACTCTGGAAGAGATAAACCGACTAAATCAGGCAAATAGTAAACAGCAATGTTTAACAGGAATACTAACCATGAGATTCAAGAAGGGCGTCCGCTTTTTGCTTCAAGATACCACTGCTGGTGAGTCGGGGCACAGAGCGGCCTGACATAAGAGACAGAAGAGCCGACTCAATTTCCGAAACTGAAGGCCTTTTGTCAGATTCAACCCAACACTGAGACATCAGTTCATATCTGCAAAGAACAAAAAGCAACACAAGGTTAATTATGTACATCTCGACGAGAAATATGTTTTTTTGTACATTACTTTTGTCCAATTTGAGAGTAGAACTTCAGGTGTCCGTTTAAGAGAGGTGTCTGCCTATAGCGAGTCAAAGAAAACGAAGGAAGGACAGCAAGAACAAACTCTAGGTGTCCATTCAAGGGATAATGTCCGTCTTATAGAGAGTTAAAGAAAATAACAGAAGAACAGTGCCAACTCTAGGTGTCCGTTTGAGGGAGGTGACCGCCTTATAGAAAATCTAGGAAAATGACTGAAGAACAGCAAGGACCAACTCTAGGTATCCGTTTAAGAGAGGTGTCCATCTTATGACAAGTCAAAGAAAATGACTGAAAATGGCAGGGACCACTTCTAGGTGCCTATTTAAGGGAATGTTATGGCTTGTAAAGGGTCAAAGAAAATGACCAAAGAATAGCAAGGACAAACTCTAGGTGTCAGTTTGAGATTCAGTACAGTACAGGACAGTACAGTACAGTACAGTTAAAATCCTCCAGACGGTAAACCTGTTACCACGGAGTTGCTGGCCACTACGCGGTCGACAAGTGTAGCGAAACCACTCATCTTGTATCGACCTCTTTGCCTGCTCAATGGAGACATTTAATAATTTAGGGATATTAATCCAAGGGGTCCCGTTTGTATGGACGCCTAGACTTCGCAAAGAGTATCTCCTTTGTCAGTGTAGTGTTTGGACAACGACATATATGACCGATATATTTAAAATAGTGTTGGCTCCTGAGACAAGACAATTGATGTAAAATTTCAAACAAGCACCTAATGCAAACTTACAGAGAGTCCTGTACGTTGTCTTTGTTGCATGGTTCCGGCAGAGTATACAGACGATCTTGTATAACACTCTGTAACACTTCTTCATCGGAAAGTTCTTCATAGGGTTGTTTCCCACCTTCAATAATCTCCCATAATGTTACTCCAAAAGACCTGCAAAATTACGAATACCAGTCAGGAAAATTAAAGTTGTTTTCGATTTTTTTCCTGAGTGACGGTTATTAGCATTGACTGATCAGTCAAGCCTGCTCGTTTTCCCGCCGAAAAAAAAAACGACAACGTAGAATGGGAAAATCTTGTTTTCTTAACCAATCTGAATGGCGAAAAGTGAGTAGGGCCAAACGTAACGGCTAAATTATCAGCTCGCAATTTTTTGACAAAACCTTACAGAGGCAGTGTGTATGTGTCCACCCTTGCTAACCCCTTAAACCGGCACAGACTCTAACTTTCTCTCAACAAAATTATCGACCCTTACCGCCACAAAGGTAAATTCCAGTTGCCAAATATCTGGAGAAATTAAATCACGAGAAGTTTTGGAGGGCCTAGGACACAAAGTCCGACCCAGACAGGTTTCGTTTTCAAACCGCGGGAGGTCGGCGTGATTACATATTAATCAGGGCTGCAGTTAAAGCTTAATTTATTCAGAATTCCTTCCCAATATATCTTTGTTTCAGGTGATCCTTAAAATTTGAGGCAGACCAGGCACCAGGTTTCTTAACTAGGTTTCTGGGAACAAATAGTAACCAAAGTTGGTTTTCCATGGATAAACTTATGGCAAATATAGCCTTGATTAGTTCAAGAAACGATCCCTCAAAATATGATTCTCATCTTAGCTGCAGTAGCGTATAATTTTACCAGTCAAGGGAGCTTAACAAACAACGACGACGGCAACAAAAAAGGCAAAAAAGGCAAAAAACAAAACAAACAATAGGTTTGGATTAGCAAAACAAAACTATCTCGTCGATGTAAATTTATTTGCCCCCGTTGCACGACCACGACGTGAAACTTCCTAATCTCATCTTTGCTGGAGGACGTGAAGACAAGCGTAAAAAAATCCACCAACATTTGACAAATTGAACGACATGGGATAAGAGCAACAAATTTTTAAAGAGGGTGAATTCATTTTTTAAGAAACGTTTTTGCCACCGTCCTCGTTGCCTGAGCTCACGAAAGGGACGGAACTTGTTTATCAATGACCACTCACCACACATTTCCCTTACTGGACGGGGGTTTAGAAACAAGGACTCCATCTTCCTGTATCACCAGCCCCTCTGGGGCTAACCACCTCAGGGGGATGCTGTTAGGAGCATTTGGCCTGTTGTAGTAGTCATTCTGAAATGATAAGAAAAGTAACGTTGAAACTATGATTGACAACAGGAACAAGCAATATAAGCAACTATTGAAAAACGACACAGTACTGTTCATTGGTTTTTTTTTTAAATAATTAGGTAGTGTAGAATAAAATATATTTTTACAATAAGTGAGCGATTTCTCGAGCGCTGATTGGTCGAGAGCCAAGGTCGTTCAGAGTACAGACCAACGAAATGACGTCATGGTGGCGCAATACGTTTCCTCCTTCTCTTGCGCGCGA